AAAAACTAAAAAAAAATATTTTTTAAAAAAATGGGGCGATCCGGGGATTGAACCCGGGACCTCTCGTACCCAAAACGAGAATCATACCACTAGACCAATCGCCCAATATTTAATAATATTAAATAAAATTAAATTATTATAATTAATTCAATAGAATACATTGATAAAATACAAGATATAATTAATATTAATATATATTTTAAATTTTCTTGTATTTTTTATAAAATAAATATTTTAATTTAGTTTTATATTAAATATTATTATTTGTTAAGAAAATAATTAAAAAAAATTATTAAATAATATTATATAATCAAACGCTGAAAACACATATTATAACTAAAAAAAATTCATTTAAATATTTTAATATTATTTTTACTTTTAAAATAAAAATAATTTTTTTTTATAAAAAAATAAAAAAATATTTATAAAATTATGAATTAAAATACTATAAAAAATTTAAAATAACAATAAAAACATATTCTTTATTAAGAAAATAATTAACTTTAAAATTAATTAAATTCGATTTCAGAATTTAAAAATATTACATTATAATAAAAACTGAATTAAAACTAAATTTAAACAATAAATATCAATAAATTAAATTAGTAATAAAATATTAAAAATAAAAAAAAATTGTTTAAACAAATGATACAAAATAATTAGTAAGAATAAATTATAAAAGTTGAATTAATGAAAAAAATAACATAAATTAAAAATAATGAAAAAATTAACGAAAAAAATTAAAAAATTTAATAATTAAAAAAATATTTTTTTTATAAAAAAAATAATTAAACAGAAAATGCATATAACTAATCTGAAAATTAAAAATTAAATGTGTTTAAAAATATAAATAAAAAATTAAAAAATAATAGTAAAGAAAAAAAATATAATTAAATAAAATAAAACTTATAAAATAATATTATTAATAATAATAATAATAATAATAATAATAATAATAATAATAGTAATAATAGTAATATTAATAGTTATAATAATTAAAATAATTAATAAATAAATTTAATATCTAATTAAAAATAGTTATATAATAAAACTATTAATTAAAACAAAAAATTTATTTTAAAAAAAAATAAATTTACTAACACATTTAATTTTTAATATCATACGCCAAAAAATTTTTAATGTTAAATTAAAAATAATAACTATGTTTCTTTATTTTAATAATCACGAAAAGAATTTTATACACAAGATAATATTTCTTATTATAATATATAAAATTCATCTTTTAGTTAACATAATTCAATTTAAAATAGCATTTTGAAAGATTAAAATAATTAAAATATATTTTTAAATACAATTGATTTAAAGATTTAAAGAAATAAATAAACAATTAATAAAAAATGTATAAAGCATAATTTTTAAATATAATCTATGCCAAATAAAATATAAAACTTTTTTAAAAATAAAACTATTTTAAATTAATAAAAAAGTTAAACTTAAACAAATTATGAAAATTCGTATGATTTTAATAACAGTTGGGATTCAGAATTAAAATAATTTGAATAAAACTTAAAATTTGAGAGATTAAAATAGAGCGAACTAAGCTAAAATATAAGGAAAGCATATAAAAATATAATATATACAGTTAATTAAAATTAAAAAAATTAACAATTTTAAAATTCAGAGAATAAATTTGTGTATTTAAAAATAAATTAGATTTTTTAAATAAAATGATATTTTCAAATTATTATAATATTTTTATTAAATGTATTTATTTTTCAAAATAAAAATTTATTCATTTTTTATTAAAAAAACCTTTTTTTATAATTAAAAAATAAATCATTACTTGTATATATAAATAAAATAATGATAACTAAAATCGGCCAAGACGAAACCAAATGGCAACTTATGGAAATAAAAATTAAAAACATAATATATTAATTAATGAATGATTTACTTTTAGGATCCACAATAACTCCCTTTATCTATAAACTACTAATCTTTATTGAAAGTTTTTAAATATTGTATTATTCAATACATCCATAATTCACATTTTTATGGGATTCAAATGCTACAAGTATAATATAGACTACTTTTTATTATTTTTAAATAAATGGATTATTATTTGATAGTTATGCAAGTGTTTTTTTTTATTTTCAAAAAATAATTATATATAAATTTATATATATATATATATATATTTTTAAAAAAAAAATAAAGGTGATTTACGTAATATTATATATAACATGTTTTCTTTAAATACTAATGGGATTTTTAATTCTAGTTTTACTTTTCAAAAAAACACACTAAAATAATAAAAGTTCGAATTTTACAACTTATTGTATAAAAATACTTTCTTTTTACATAATAATATTAAGAACAATAGGAATTATTCCGTTTTTTAACATTTTAATAATAATTATATATTGTGATTCGGGTTTAAAAAGCTTATAAAAATTAGATTGTTATTAAGGCATTTTTTTCGTTCATTTTTCAATCAGTATTTTTTCCACTTTTATCTTATCTTTTTTTTCCTTACTTTCCATAAGACTCTATACAGACTTAAATCCGATTTCAAATTTACCTTTTGCAGCTCCATAATCAAAATACCCTATAATAAAATTCAGCTTAAAAATAATTCTGCCAATATATATAACATTTGATTCAACTTTTAATTTATAATAGCCATTTATAATTTTCTTAATGCTCTTTAACCTAATTTTACTTATTTAAGGTTACTTTTAATGCCCCATTTATTATAATAGAAGTATAGAAATTATCCAAGGTATACTTGATTGTGTAGTTTTTTGGATTTCTTGTTGTTCTTTTGTTTGTATATTTACTGGAAATGAATATGTAGGAATTATTTATATGGTTTTGGGGATACCTTTTATATCTTTTGTATACTATACATTATTAAAAAGAAGAGATATTTCATATATAACAAAATAAACAAAAAGTCTAAAAAAAGAACAATAAATAGAAAGTTATATTAATGTACTTATATATTTAATTGAAAATAGAAAAAAAAGGCTAGAAAGAATCTAACTTGAAGGAGTTTTGAAATATCATATTAGATATTGTACAAAAGCTTAAGATTAATGTAATTGTTAAAATTTGGCTTTTTAATAAAGAGAAGAAGATATATAAAATAATAATGATAATATATCTTCAAGTAAATGGTATTTATTTGTATTTAGTATATTATAAGATTCTTTAGAAAGATTCTAAAAATCGTCTAAATTACATTTATTAAATTCTTATATATAATAAGGAAAGCTATAAAATAAATTTAAATCTTTATAAGAGTTGATGATTTCTTTGGAATCTAAGCCTAATTTTCAATAAGAGTTCTCAATTTATAGGCAGAAAATCGTTATATAAAACGAAATAATCGAAAATGACTCTAAGGGGTAGGAAAATAAGAGTATAGAGATGAATAATATAGTTAGCTTTTATAATAATTTTGTGATTTTTCAAGCTTAGATAGAAAAATCAGTAAATTTCCATTTAGAATTTTGGAGTAAATTACAGGAAGAATCCCCTGATATAGAGAAACTATTACTTTTAGGTTCTAAAATATCGAATACTTTAGAAAATGCAGCCGAATAATTCACTAAACTACAAGAAATGAATCCTAATCATATAAAATGTCTATAAATCTACGGGAATTTCCTAAAACTAATCATAAATGACGAGCAAGAAGGTTAGAAAATAATCGAAAAAGCCGAATATATATAAAAATCAAACCTAGCGAATAAATAATTCCTAGATCACGAAAAAAATAAATACGGAGAAAACTCAAACACATGTATTATATAAATTTCAGGTAATATAAACTCTATAGGAATAATAACAAATACAAACAACGAAGTCAGTAGAATTCTAGGCTTTTAAAAAAGCGAGTTAATAGAATAAAACATTAGTAGAATAATGCCTAAAGTATATGGAGATTTACATGATAAATTTATTCAAAGATTCATAAATACTTCAACTTCTAGTCAAATAGGAATAGAAAGATTAGTTATGTGTTTAAATAAATAAGGATATATAGTTCCGACTACTTTAATGATAAAAATACTTCCATGTTTATCACAAGGAATATAAATAGTTGGTTTTATTTAAGAGTAAAATGATTTTTTTTTATCTAACAATACATTAGAAAGGGAAGAAATAGTACATTATTTAATTTATAGATAAGATAATTTATAAATATAGGGAATTTCTTAAAGTTGTTATTTTTCGTTTGGAATTCCTGCAGAATTAGTATATGGAAATTCTTCGAATATTTCTGATTTTACAATTGATTAGATTATACCTGAAATAGTCGAAGAAAAAAATATTGAGGATATGAAATCACATTAGGGTGCTATTATTTAATTAAATACCGTTTATATTTAATAAAATTTCCTTGTAGATGATGAAGATGATGAAAATAATGAAGATAATGAAGATAATGAAGATAATGAAAATAATGAAGATAATGAAGATAATGAAGATAATGAAGATGATGAAGAAGAATACAAAAAAATAAATAACGAAGGAAACAATTATAATAATGCAGAAGATGATAATTAATCGAAAAAAATTGGGTAGAAATTCGAAAAAAAAACCAACAGTAAATATCGATAAGTAAATATTAAAGTTAATTTAATATAATAAGCTGATTATGGAGATGTTAATAATATAAAAATCATAAAATTTTAAGAAATAAACCAAAACGAAGATGTTGCATATAAATAAAAAAAAAAAAATGATAATAAAATAATCACAGATAATGATCTAGCAATAAATAAATAATTAGATTTATAAAAAAATGAAAAGGAAGAAGAGGGTTCAAATATTTCAGGATGTAGTTTAAATGATGATATGAGATAATTGTAAGATTTTAAATTATTAATAAGTGAGAAAAAGGTACCTAAATAAATTACTATTTTAAAAAGAACAGTTTTTTTTTATTGGTAATTGTTTGTTCATTAACTAGCTTTGCTTTAGCAAAAAAACTTTAAGAAGAAAGTGATATTTAGGAAGGCATAGATGCTATGCAATACGTATATATGAGATCTAATCTATTATCAGATATAAATTTTTATACAAGAAAATTATGGTTATTAGGAAAGTAATAAAAACTTATTTATATAACAAATAAATAAATATATAAAAAACATAAAAAATATATAAATTTATAAGTATATTAATATTTATGTATTTATTCATTTTTTCTAAGTGGATATATATAAGCTCATAATAATAATAGTTTATTAGATATCGAAAATTTTTATAAAACTTAATTAGAAAAATATGTTAAGAACTTATAAGATGTTCAATTTAATGTTATAAAAGCAGATATAAAAATGTAAAATAGAATGAAAGAACCTCCTGATAATTAACCATATTAATTTTATTCTAAAAAATAAAATAATGAAACATCTGTGGAATATAAATCATTTACTGATGCAATATTTTAATATATAACAAGTGCATCAACTTTAAAAAGCGCTTAATTAATTAATTTCGTATAAAAACAAATTAAAATATTAAATGAAATATATATATTTTTTGATATTCTTATATATATATAAATATATATTTATTTATTAATCCATATATAAAGATTCCTCAATTATAAAATAATAATTAATAAGTTTCTATAATTGAACCAACTTAAATATACTATTTTATTGTACGATAAAATGGTCTTTTTTTATTCCGTTAATCTTGTGAAGAAATCTCTGAAAATTTCTTCAATTTTTACTATAATTTAGTATAAGATTCAGATCTTTAATTTCTTATAATAATGATAATCGGAATTTTATTTTTTATTTTATCTCAATTTATATTAATTCCTATAGTATTTTAAGTAATAAAAACAAACAATAGAGTTCTTTCTTTATTTGGATATATTCCAATTGTTGAAATAAAATATTTATCTTATAAATGCGATAAATTCATACAACTATTCATAAAATAAGAAAATTATTAATAAGAATAGAATATGTAATAATAATAATAAAAGCATTTGAATTCTAAAAGTAATAGCTTAAGTAAATAATATGAAATTAACAGCGTAAAAAATAGGATGATAAAAAACCATTCACCCTAATAAATTATTCAAAATTTTAATAATTCGTAATTAAAAATTCCACCAGGTAACCCAAACTATAAATCTTTAATGAATACTCCTTCCAAAAAAAATATAGAAGATGATGAAAAAATGTAATTAAAGGATAATATTTAAAATAAAGATGAAGAAAAAAAGAAACAATTACAAAAATAGTATTAAGAAAAAGCCGCAGCTGTGGCTGCAGCTGCAGCAACTTCGAAATTAATTAAAGGAGATGAAGATTTTGAAAACTTTAGAAGCGAAAAATTTCTAAACTAAAAAGCTGGCAAATAAAAAATAATATTTTTTTCGTTTTCTTTTATTTCTTTTCTATTTATTATATTCTTCATAATAAGCTATGCGCTATAAAAAGATTTTTTAAGAAGCATCAATAAAATACAAGAACACTTAAAATATATTTTAGAAAGACCTTCATTATTAAAATTTAATCTACTCTTTACACTAGAAGAAATCGTAGAAGGAATTCCAATATAATACGAAAATTAAGATTTGAGGAAATTTTATGCAAATTAAATACATGAAAATTAAAAATAAGTATATTTTTCATTTAAAGGAGGTTTCTCATATACATTTTAAGATTATGAAAAATATTTTAATTTAATAGATGATGAGGAAATATGTGATAATGTATCTTTAATATCAAATATTTCAGAATGTAAACTAATTTTAAACGGGATTCTTTAAAGAGGATTAAGAACTTCTATTGTATCTTTAACAGAAAGTAAATAAATAAATATATATATATATATATATATATATATATATATATATATATATAATATATATATTTATATATATATATTACTATCAATTATTTAGCTTTAAGAGATATTTCAGTTAAATTTAGCGATTCAATTAATAAATAAAAAGAGTTTAAAATTTAATGTATTAACAATGAAGAATTTATTAGTTTAGAAAAAGGAATGTAATACATTGTTACTTCTATATATTAACTAAATGATTTTTTTTTATATAATATTGATATATATTTGAAATTTAGATTAAAATTTGAAATTATTCTTTTTAGTATTTTTATAAGTATATTTTTACTTATATTTTCTTTTGTTTGGATTCCTTATTTAAGTGGCTTAAGTATTAAAATTTGGAGAACAAAAGGAATGCTTAATATGATTCCTATTAATATAATTACAAAATATGATACTCTTAAATAAGCTTTATTTAAGGTAATATTCTAAAGGCTGTTAAGTGATTTATATATATATTTATATATATTTAATTTGTCTTATTTCTCATTTTTTTTTATATATTTAATCAAAATAAAGTATATAATCTTATTTTTAGCTCTAAATTTTATTTATATATTGTATTATAAAAATTAATTTCATAAAATATAAATAATGATGTTTAGTATATATATATAAAATATATATTAGTATATATTATTTATTTAATATTTTATTCTATATAAAAATTAATTTAAAATTTTATTTTATATATTAATAAAAATTCAATTAATTTTTACATATATTTAACATTTTTATATTTATTTTTTTATAATTATTATTTTTTAAATTAAAATATACTATTTTTTTATTTTATCTTTTATTTATATTTTAATGAATTTTTTTTTTTAATATTTAAATTTTTATTTTTAATTAAATATATATGAATTTGAATTATTTCATAAAAACAAATAATTTTATAAAAATTGAAACTTATAAATAATTTTGTATTATATTTTAAAAACTGTTTTTTATATCATCATTTATTTAAATTAATTTCAATGCATTAAATTTTGAATTTGTATTTTGTGATCTAGTTTTTATTTATAATAATATAACTAAAACTAAATTGAATTATATATTTAAGTTAATTAAAAAAAATATTTATATTTTAAATTTTTTTAAAAACATATACTTATTTATATTATATTTATTTATATATATATATATAAAATATAATTAAAGAAAATGTTAAAATAAAATAATTAATAAATTTTAAACGATATTTTTTTAAAAATTTTTGGACATAAAATACCAAGAAATAGTATTTATTTCTGTCTTTTTCTTTTGCAAATAAAATCTTTGTAAGAATTTTCTTTTCTGTTATAAGAAAAATCCATTACTTTTGATTAAAAATATTATTTTTACTACATAAAATAGTACTTAAATATAATTAAGTTTGGCTATGGGAACATTTCTTTTTTTGATGATAATGTAATAATGCCAAGCTTTTTATTTTGTTTTATTTTAAATTTATTAATATTACTTAGTTTATTATTTGTATTATTGACTGGATAAAAATATAAATATTCTCGACAAAAAATAATAATTTTTTTCAAATATTTATAAACAATTTATAACTATATTTTATATTTGCCTTTTTAAGAGATTTCTTTACAAATTTTATTCGATATAAATGATTAATAATATATAATTAAAATATTTGCTTTAATAAATATAATAATTCTATTAAAATTCACGATTTTATTAAATTTATTTGATTTTGACTATTCAATATTATAAATTGACTTTTTGCAAAGAAAATATTCAATTAAAGGCAAATTAATAATATTTACTTTATAATTTATTTATTTAATTTCGACAAAAATTTTTAATAAAGAATTCTTTTTATCTATTTATTTGATCTACCAAATTTTTAACATAATTTAATTAAAAACAGAAGGAATTTATTTTAATTTAAAAATATTATATTTTTAAATATTTAATAGCATTATATTATCATTAATAACTTTACTTTTATTAATAAAATATACCTAAAATGAAATATTAATTAATCATCCATTATTTTTACTTATATTTATAACAATGAGTTTAAAATTAATCAATATGAAATACTAAATTAAAACAAATTTATTCTAAAACTATTATGATTTTATAGAAAATAAATATATAAAAAATAAAAAAATAGATTTTTATATCAGACAAATATTCAATTAATTTACATTTCTATTAGATGATTATATATAAAAAGAAGGAATTCTATTCGAATCAATTTTTTTAAATCATTAATTATAATGTAATTAAACCGTATAATGTTTTTGTGAAGAATTTTAAACAAATGTAAAAAAAAATATATGTAAAAATATAAATAATATAATATATAAATATATATATATATATATATATTTTTTTTATTTTATATTTTTAAGGTTAATGAGAATTATATTTTACAAAAATAAAATTTTAAAATTTTCCGTAAATAATATTTATCAAATTATATTATAAATTTTTATGAAAATTAATTAAAAAAATATGAAAATATATTTACTTTTTATTCATATATAAATTTTCTCATAGAAATAAGTAATAACATTCCTAAAGCTATTATTTAAATATATAATTACAAATTGAATAATAAAATTTCTTTTATTAAATAAAGTTATTTTTAATATTTAATTAATAAATCCAAAGTTTAATTCTAAAATAATCTACATTTAATTGAAAACTAAAAATTAAAATTGCAAGAAGTTATTGAATTTGAAGAAATTTTTGACGAATTTTATTAAAGTTTCTATATTTAATTGAAAGAAACTGTTATTTATTTTAATTTTTTATGTAGTGATTTACTTATATTGAATGAAATATACACTCAATCAATATAACTTTATAAAAATTTGACAACAATATCAAAAAAAATCAAATAACTCATAAAATTAAACCCTAATAGTAGGCAAATGGAGTAATTAATATAATATTTTGCAAATACAATAGACTTTTAATTAGATAAAAAATAATATTACAAAATTAAAAATTTTAAATAAAATAAAAAAAAATTGATGAACAAGATGTATTTAGTTAAAATTCATGCGTAATTTATACATCTTTAATTGGAAAAAAAGCATTAATTAACAAAGCTTCTAAAAATTTTTATGAAATATTCAAATTTGATAAAAATAAAATTATAGATAAACCACTTAATTTAATTATTCCTTAAGGACTTTATTTATATCATGATTTAATGGTTGCTAATTTTAAACATAAAGGAAACTTAGATATCATTAGTTTAAGTATTTATTATTTTATGAATATGTTTTTGTTTTATAAAAAATTAATTTTTTTTTGTAAATATATAAAAATTAAAGAAAATAGATTAGTTTTTGGATTTAATGGAAATGGTTTTATTTTCGTTTTAAATATTTAATTAAAAATATAAAATTTATTAAATGATTTTGGTACTTTTGCTTATTTATAAGAAATTTAGATGAATTAAAATTATATTTTTTTAGGAGAACAATAATAAATAACTGACATATCTCAAAATATATATCAAGACATATTCTAGAATAGTTGTTCTTTATGTAAAAAAGAATAAATTTACATTTTATTTATATATAAAAAAAATTAATAATAGAATAATTAAAAAATATAAATCTATATTAAATAATTCCTTTTTTAAGATTAATATTTGACCTAAAAAACTACTAAAAATAATATACATCAATAATATTAAGCTCAAAAAATTTTTAATTAACTTCTCAATCAAATATTAGCATAAATACATTAAATCAAATATAAAATACCCAAAACCAATATAATTACAATGAATAAAATACATAAAACCATGTATAAAATACCTAAAATTAAATAAAAAGTATTTAAAATTTGTATTTACACAATTAAGTAAAAAATACTTAAAATACTTTTTATAATACTCAGAAGGAAACAAAAAAAACAATAATAAATGAAATATTCGTAATATAGTTTAAAGTTTAAGTCATTTAATCAAAAATAAATAAAACTTTTTATTATTTGGAAATCGATAATTACCACAAAGTGGATAATAATTAAAAAAAAAGCAGTATTTGTAAATCTTATAGTAAATAATGAAAAAAATATACAATGATAATTTCTAAGAAACATATATATTAAGAAATAACCTAAAAAAAAACAGTATAGCATTTTAAAGCCATTTTTACCAAAAAAAAATGTCTTAATATGAATTTAACTTATCTGATTTTACATCTTAAGAGTTGGATGAAAAAAGTTCGTATTTCGAAGAAAATTTTTTCGGAAATCAAATGAATGATTCAAATATTGAAGAAATTTAAATATTAAATAGCTAGAATAAAATTTAAAATTAACCAAAATAAAATAGTACAGAAAAATAAATTTAAGAGGAAATTTAATTTGAAGAAATATTAAATTAAACTCATATTTTACCTAAATAAATAAAAAAACAATAAAAGTATTAAAATAAATAAGAAAATAAAATATTAAATTATATATAAAAATAATAAATATTTAAAGTAATAACATTTCAGGAAACATATTAAGTAAATCAGATATTACTAGTTAAACAGAAACTGAAAAAACAGAATAAATAAATTATTTTTAAAAAATACATAATTATATATTTAATTATAACAAAATAATGTAAATTCTTGTCAATTAAGAAAATCAAAGTTAAACAGTTTTTCTTAGCAAAAAATAAATTGAAGTAAAAGAAATATAATAATTATACGATTCATCATTATAATAATTTGAGTCATAAGAAAAAAATTAAAACGCTTCCTAAAGTTGCTCATCAATGTTAAAGGTTATATTTAATTATAAAAAAATAGACTAATATAAAGTATAAATCACCTTATGATTCTTAAATTTTGGAATACATAAAAGCCTTATTATATATAGCTTTAATAATATCAATAGGGACAACTTTATTAATATAATAAATCAATAATAATTAATAAGTAAATTAGTTAGAAAATTGTAAACAAATAAATTAAGTATATTTAGTTTACTTAGATATTATTTCGACCTTAAAAGAAACATCATTTTTAAGAGTTATTTAAAGAAATTTTCTTGATTTAGAAGATCCTGTATTTAAGCAATAAATATTCCAAAATCTAATCTATTATATAGATTTAAACTAAAAATTTCTTCAAGAAAACTAATTAATTTATTTAATAAAAAAGTTTAATATTCTTAATTCGAATATTAATTAAAAATAAGATTGAAGTAACTTTATATCATGTAATAGATATTTAAACCAATTTAATTGTCGAGAATAAAGTAAAACTTACTTTAAATAATGTTTTTATGATTTATTATAAGACAACAATCCTACTAGGATCTACTCTTTAATTAAAAAATGAAGACTCTATTTTTATATGGATGAATATATAAGAAATGTAAAATTTTATCATATAATTAAACTAAGAAGTAAAATCTAATGCCAAAAAAATAATTGAAGATGTAGAAATTTTCCAATTATATAACTTGGCAATTAATATATTTATTTTTTTTCTTTTAATTTTCATTATAATAATTTTAAGTATTTTTTAAAATTCTGAAAGAAATAAACTCCTTAAATTACATGGCTCTTTTCATCCTTAAAAAATTCGAATTCAAATTAATTTAATTGAATAAGTACTTTAAATTCTTTAAATAAATAAAAAAAAAAATCTTATGTTATAATCAAAAGCTTAAATAAAAAAATAACAAACCCATAAAAGAAATAGATAAATGGCAAATTTTTAATCAACTTTTTAATTTAATTCTTAGGCTTATTTTATCATTTTTATATCATTGATTATATTATTAGCATAACCTCTATGTATAATATTTATTAATTAAACATACATGCATTAAATCTAAGTTTAATTAATTGAAAAGGAAATAATAATTAACCTTATAGGATAGTAAATTATTACCTCAGCAATTCATTATAGAATATGGGCTACAAGATC